CCCATTGGCTAATCAGGGCAATATGCAAATTAACTGTCAGCCAAGATGGCGGCCGGCAGCCAGGCAGCTTGAAACTAACATGAGGCTTGCTTGCTTCAGTGAACGAGGACTCCAACGTTCCCTGCCTGCCGCTGCAGGCCTCTGAGCTGCAAGCAGCTATGTAACAAACATAGAAGCTAAACAAAACCCCAGAAACCTGCCGGGCTTCAGCCAGCAGGATCGCAACACTGTAAGCAAAGGCCAGAAACCTACTTTCAGCAGCGGAGGCCTAAGAGCTGGAGTCAAGCCTCAAAGCTAAAGCTGGCCCAGAATAAAAAAAGAAAAGAAAAAAAGGAGCGGTTGGGAGCTTCAGTTACCCCAGACTGAAAACAGCCCTCAGCTCCTCACCCAGACTGGCCAGGCACCCCAGTGGGGACCCCCACCCTGAAGGGTGTGTGACCACCTGCAAACAGCCATCATCCCCTCACCCAGGCTGGCCAGGCACCCCAGTGGGGACCCCCACTCTGATCCAGGACACCCTTCAGGGCAAACCAGCCAGCACCAACCCATGCACCAGGCCTCTACCCTATATAGTAAAAGGGTAATATGCCTCCCAGCACCAGGATCAGCGGAGCCGTGAGGCCTCCCGGCACCGGGATCAGTGTGACAGGGGGCAGCGTCCAAACCCCCTGATCGCCCTGCGGCTCTGTGTGTGACAGGGTGCGGCGCCCCAACCCCCTGATCGGCCCTGCTCTGTGTGTGACAGGGTGCGGCGCCCCAACCACCCCCTCCACGGGCCCTGCTCTGTGTGTGACGGGGTAGAGCCATAACCTCCCCATCTGCCCTGCCCTGAGTGTGAGAGTGGCGGCACCCCAACCCCCTCATTGGCCCTGCTCTGTGGGTGATAGAGGGCGGCGCCCCAACCCCCTTATGGGCCCTGCTCTGTGCGTGACAGGGTACAGAGCCCCAACCCCCCTGATGGGCCCTGCTCTGTGAGTGACAGGGGGCAGTGCCCCAACCCCCTGATTGGCCTTGCTCTGTGCATGACAGGGGGTGGCGCCGCAACCTCCCCATCGACCCCGCCTTGAGTGTGACAGGGGATGGTGCCCCAACCCCCCAATCGGCCCTACCCTAGCGTGACTGAGGGTGGAATCACAACCTCCCGATCATCCTGCTCTATGTATGACAGGGGGCGGCGCCCCAACTCCCCAATCGGCCCTGCTCTGAGCCCGACCAGGGGCTGCACCTAGGGATTGGGCCTGCCCTCTGCCACCTGGGAGCAGGCCTAAGCCAGCAGGTCGTTATCTCCCGAGGGGTTCCAGACTGCGAGAGGGCACAGGCCGGGCTGAGGGGCCCCCCTCCCCCCCGAGTGCACAAATTTTTGTGCACCGGGCCTCTAGTCTAATCTAATAAAAGAGAAACATGCAAATTGACCATACCTCCACTGTACCCACAAGCCAATCAGGAGCAAATATGCAAATTAACCCAACTAAGATGGCGGCGGCCATGGAGCTGGAGTGAGCAGGAGGCTTGGGTTGCCCCCGGCAATGGAGGAAGCCAAGATTCCCGGCTGCCCTGCTGGCCCTGAGCTCCGTTCAAGGCTACAAAGTTTCAATTATAGAAGATAAATAAATCCCAAATACCTGCTTCTGGCCTGTAGCCGTGGCCAGCCTGAAAACAGCCATCAGCCCCTCACCCAAGCTGGCCAGGCACCCCAGCAGGGTCCCCTACCCTGATCCAGGACACCCTTCAGGGAAAACCAGCGACCCCCCCACCCGTGCACCAAGCCTCCACCCTGAAGGGGCTGTGGGAAGCCTGAAAATGGCCCTCAGCCCCTCACCCAGGCTCGCCAGGCACCCCAGCGGGACCCCTACCCTGATCCAGGACACCCTTCAGGGAAAACCAGCGACCCCCCACCCGTGCACCAAGCCTCTATCCTATATAATAAAAGGGTAATATGCAAATTGACCCTAATAGCAGGAAGACTGGGAATGACTGGTCACTATGACACACGCTGACCACCAGGGGGCAGATGCTCAATGCAGGAGTTGCCCCCTAGTGGTCAGTGTGCTCCCACAGGGGGAGCTCTGCTCAGCCACAAGCCAGGCTAATGGCTGCCAGCACAGCGGTGGTGGAGGAGCCTCTCCCACCTCCTCAGCAATGCTAAGGATGTCCAACTGTAGCTTAGGCCTGCTCCCTGCTGGCAAGTGGACATCCCCCAAGGGCTCCCAGGCTGCCAGAGGGATGTCTGACTGCCAGCTTAGGCCTGATCCCCTGGGGAGCAGGCCTAAGCCAGCAGGTGGACATCCCCCAAGGGGTCCCAGACTGTGAGACGGCACAGGCCGGGCTAAGGGACCCCCCCCTTCCCCGAGTGCACAAATTTTTGTGCACCGGGCCTCTAGTCTCTTTCATAAAGGCCATGCTGAACCAGTCTGTCTATCTCATAGTACAAATGGCAGCAAGCAGTAGCTAAAATATTCCAATAGACTATTTTAAACCAAGTTCATAAAGCTAGAGCTTCAGTGAGCAAAACTATCTGTGGTGAAGGATCAATTTTTTGTGTTTTAGTTACCAACCAAACACAGAAAAATGCTTTCATAAATATGAAACTGCATGCTTAATTGTCACAGTAGTGTCAAGTTATTAAAAGTTTCAAAGTGCTCCTCTTAATTTCTATATCTATTTCATTGCTGATAAGTACAGTTTGCAGATTGGCTTTGGTCTATACATCACATTTTAAGTAGCACTGATCTAATTGATAAAGCTCGCTATTTGGTTAGCCTATGTGTCAATTTCTGTATTAGTTGAGAATCTTGATTCAGAACATCACTGTATACTTTAACCTTATCTGGCACCTGAATAATGGAGCACCATTAAGTCCAGTGGAGCCCATGGCCTTTATCTCATTGTCTTCTTTCATGAAATGAATTCCTTTGTCAGGGGAATGGTGTATAGGCTAATGTGACAATGTATAAGCATTCAATAAGTCCGTAGGTGGTGTTTGCAGCAAAACCAAATCCAGTTCCAAAACGAGGAACTATTGTAGTGAGGCAAATTGTTGACTGATCTATGATAAAAGGGAGTCCAAAGTAATTGATGTGCTTGATATCAGGTACATGCTGGTCCCCTGGAAGGAGGGTGCCTCAGAAAGATCTTAAAATTGGGTCACCGTCGCTGCAAAATTGATTTTCAGCAGCTGCAGTAATCACCAGAATAGAGCCTTCCTCCTGCCGCTCATTGCTTGGTGAATCAAACCGTGATACTGGACAGCTTACAACCCTTCATGCCCCCTAGCACTTGGAAGAAAACCCAAACTCCCTTCTATGATCTACAAGGCACTGAATATTCAAGGCCTTAGCTTCTCTCCAACTTCATCTCATGTTGCTCTTCTTGCTCTGACCACGATGCCCTCTCTAAGCTAGTACTCCAGCACAGCACTCTCAGCATATCCTGTTCCCTCCGCCTGGAACACTATCCACATCCCTCCCATTCCCATCCCCTTTGGAGAACGGCTGAAATGTTACCTCCTGAAAGTTGTCTCCCTAGTACCACAGGCATCACTTTCTAACCCAGCCCTCTTCACGCTACCTACCACAAGCTGTAATTATTTGCTATTATTCAAAAATGATTTAGTACAGAAATGGAAATGCCATGATTCTACAGAGCTTGTAAGTGTTGAGACAATTTAACACCCAGAGGGGGAAGCAAGAGATCAAGAGGCATCCTTGCCGACTCCCTAAACAATGAAATGTCCCAATGGTTTCCTACACCCAAATCTCCCAGAAGTCGGCCCCTGCCTTCTCCTCCAAAAGGAGGGCGGCATTATCATTTTCCATCTACGATTCACATCCATCACAGGCCAGGTACCCAGGAGCCCGCCTCGTGGCCTTTTATTAAACCGGAGGCCCGCGCAGCCCGGGAGTGGGCTCGGGGCGCCGCTGGGCTCCGCGTCGCCTGGCTCTCGGGCGTTACTCGTTACTCGAGTCTCGCTCCCGCCCGCGTCTCTTAGGCCACCCCACGCCCCCAACCCCCGAGCCCCGAGGGCGCCCGCGGACCGCAGCCGTTCACACCGGCCAGCGTGCCCCCTCGGGGTTCCCGGGTCGTCTCCTGGTTACTTGGGCGCAGAGCCCCGAAGGGGTCCCAGTCCCCAGGCGCCCGGCTTCCCCGGTGAGCGCCCTCCAGCCCGAGCTGCCTCTCCCGCCCGGCGCCCCAGTCCCGGCCTCGCCGCCCCCTCCCACAGCCCGTCCTCCCGGCATCGGGCCGCGCGGCGCCAAAGCCTCCGACTCCCAAGGTAGGTCCTGGCCGCAAACCAACACTAAGTAAGGAATCCGGAGGAGACAGGAGACAGTGTGCGACCTCGGGTCCCCGTTCATCCATCTATCACCTGTCCATCTATCTATCCATCTATCTGCCTATCACCTACCTAAGTATCTATAGATCTTTCTATCTGCCTACCCACCCCCCTCTTATCAATGCAGCCATCCATCCATCATCCGTCAACTATCGCTCTCTTGTAGGACTAAGATTAGGATTCTTTAATGAGAGCTTTACGCGACGTCGTAAATTAACCCGTTTAACTGGAAAGGCGAAGTAGGGCTTTTTTTTTTCCAGACAGAAAATGTCTTAGAAAATTTAGTTGTTAAAGTCTAGCTTTGCTAATTATGTTAAATGGTGGTCTTTTTCTATAAATTGAATGAGCAGAAGAGAAAGCTCTAAGGTTTCGAAAAAATTTAAGTCCATTTATATTATACTTTACGCCAGAAATTACGTACTTGAGTTTAGGTATCAGCCAAATATGCACAAGGGGTACAGAGATTTTTCAAAATCTTTTTAAACGGCTTCAAGCAAAAGTCCAAGCAACAGTAGCGCTTCCCTACCCCTACCCCACTTCGACAAGCTCGTGGGCAGGCGGGGCCGGACTTCGGGGCCAGGAAGGAGGAAGCGGAAGTGGGAGGAAGGGCGGAGACTGTGACGGGAGCAGTGAGAGCCGGAAAGGAGTGGCTAGCGGGGCACAGAGGGGGGGAGCCCAGTGCGGTGACGCTCTAGCCTCCGAGCGCTGTCTCTATGCTCCCCCGCGTCTAGTCTATTTATTGTCGCGGGGAAGCAGCGGCCGCCCCGGACCCGGAACAACAAAGCGCGAAAGAGGGAGCCCGTGCCTCGGGGGCTCCTAGCAACGGGCCGGGGCGGGAGTTCCATGGAGACTGGGGAGCGCGCCCGCCTCATCATCATCCTCGTCCTCCAGCTTATCCTTCGCGTCCGACGCCACCGGTATCAGCGCTCCTGCCGCGTCCTCTGCCGCCGCCCCCTCTTCCCACGGTAACCCTGGAGGCGCCCCTCGGGGCGGGGAGCGGGCGGCCTGAGTGCGGGTGCGGGGCGCGGGGCGGGGTGTGCGGGGCCGGAGCCGGGCTGCGAGCGGGGTGTGCGGGGGCGGATCGCCGGAGGAGGGGCGCTCCGGTTGGGAAACGGGTCCGGGAGTCCAGGGAGGGTCCGGCTCTTAGGGCAGGGGGGGCATTTGGGGACCTCGTTGGGGGACGGCGAGGTGGGGGGTGGGGCGTCGCTGCCGGGGAGCGTCTTCCAACGGGGTGTCGAGAAGGAAAGAGGTGTTTCTTTCTCGTGCCCGCCGCCCCCGGGAAAGACGGGAGCCGGAGATTCCCTGTCTGCCCCTGTGCAGCCCTCACCCGGGAGGGTCGTGCACAGATGCTGAGGGTGCGTGGTTTCCCAGAAAACTTGAGTGGCCTCTGCCGCGGCAGGAGGGCCCCCAAATCCCATCTGCGTCGAGAGACCCGCTTGATGGTAATTATTTTTATTAACCAAAAGATGTGACGAAGGATCTAGATTCTAGAAACTGAGGAAGAGAGAATGAATTGTGGGTAGGGCTGAGCCGGGACAAGGGTTGGGGTGAGCGCTTGACCACAGGAAGAATCCTAGAAGTAAATGTCATTGGAAGTGACGGTTTTTCAAACTCTCTTCTGCTGCTGAGACGTGCATCCGCGGGTGGTGTCGGTGCGCGCATTGCAACCAGGCTCGGGCTGCAGCCCGTCCACATCCGTGAGCTGTGACTGCATCTGTCACCTGCAGCTCCCAGGCGACACTGGCAGTTCACCGGCGTGGGCTTGTGTGTGCGCGTTAAGAACAGTGCCTTTCAACCGGTTCGAGAAAAGGAAAGGAAGCAAGCTTGGTGTGATTTTTGTGTGAAGAAACAATGGCAGAGTCTCTGGGGAAATTGAAAAAGAAATATAAGAAGGTTCGGCTATAAGCTGCAGTCTCTTTGAAAGTTTAAGGAAATGGTCAGTTAATTCCAAGAGGCTTTTATCACTATCTCGTTTAAAGAATTACTGTTTCATATGGCCAGTTCAATACTTACAGGTTTATGCTGCCCCCGTAAGCCTTACATCACTCACTATTTAAAGGTTTTATACTTTCCGAAACTATTCTAGGTCAGTGAATGAGATTTCCCTGTGGCATACTGAAAAGGCCACATATACGTACCACCATAATACCATTTTTTTGTGTTCAATGGGAACAAAGCTCTTTACATAAACTTGAGGATGAGAATAAAACGGATAGGTCACAGAAGCAATTATGTCAAGCACAGCTTCTGTCTGTCCCCCACCTTTTTTGCTAAGCCTGACTTCTTAAACAAAAAGGTATCATCCTTATGTCCAGCCCTCCCTTTTTGTACCCTCTGCCCTCCAAATGAGCCCCAGAAACTGTAATGATATACTGTGTGTTCTTGAATTTGATGCGGGAACACTCAGCCTTTTTCATGGAAGAGAGGTGCAGTGTCTCTTGTTAAAGGAATTTCCTGTGTGAAGAGGTGAGCAGTTTCCTTTAACAAAGATGGGAAGTACAACACACTGGGAAATTTAAAATGGCATTTTAAGACGCCAAGAAGAAAAACCTGGTATTGTCATCTTCAGGTTAGATGAATGGACTGTTGCATAATCTTTTCATAATAGCTGTTCTTCTGTGGAGGCTGCACTGGGAGATGATCACACTTGCGACTGTTGGATGGTCAGCCCCAGGATTTTCATAGTGTAGATGAGACACAGTGAACTCAGTCCTCCGTGTCAAGGCTGCATCACACTCAGTTCACCTAGACCTCTTAGCTGTTGCTTCTGTTCCTTCTATATTTGAGTGGGGCGTCAAGCCCTAGTTTCCACCTTTATTCACAATCCAATTTTTGCTTTCCCTGCACTCTGCTGCAATTCCAACATTTGATGTCTTTTTTCCTCACCTTTCTTGTGTCCTAATAAAAAATAGGATTTTTTATGCTGTCTGTATTATTTCTGTTTCTTAGGAAGTTTTCATCATATGTCCTTGGTCTGTAGATCCTCTTCATTAATGTCACTGTGTTGCATTTTCCTTCTGTGCCCCTCCCTTTATTTGGAGAATTGGAGTGGTCATGTCAGATGTTCTGTATTCATTCTGAATAACTGTTGGTTGTGCAGTACAGCAGGTAATCAAAAGATTGTATGGAAATAAGCCATGAAAAATATTTAAATTTTTAGAATAGAAGGTGTTTTAAGAGTTCAGAAGTAATACTGTGATTGTAGACATAGTCACTTTTTTTAAAGATAAAAGACTATTTTGGGTTATTTATTGAACCTTAGATTTTCATAATTCTTAGTCTAAAACACTTTTAACATCAATCTCTTCTGATCATTTTGCACCTGAATGTTAGACCAAAATTACATTTTGCCAGATTAGGGGGACAATTGAGGTGGTTCCCACAAATTTTTCTTCATGTGGAAAATTTTTGTGGATGTATACATATATAGAATTTGTTATAAAGTAGAAGAAATATATATGAAACACATAGATGAATATTTTTGGAGAGTGCTATTTCTTATGGATGTGATACATTATTTAAAAATCAGCAAATATTGTATAATACAGTTGAGTATCAGTGCTGTTTTAGGTGAAGTAGGCTGTGATAACCTGGTGATTCATTTCATTCTGTTGCATCATAGACCATGTGAAGAAATTATTGCTATGAAAAATAAAGTTTAAATCGATTTTAGAAGAATTTATAGTAGAATGTTTCCATAGTGTCTCTGAACTAAAACCTCTAGTGTTTTGAAAATATAGCTATATTGTGATTTTTGAAATAATAAATAAGGATTTCCTGTAATTTACACCCATACTTGTTGCACCTTTTATAAACCTGATGCCACGTCAGGTGTGCAAAGCTGGATGAAAAGTATTTCCCTTCTAGTGCCTTTTGTGCACATGCAGATAGCAGAGAAATGACATGCATGAACACCAAAATATGACAGACAGAATTTTTGAATTTTAAATCCTTTATTACATACTGCTTGGAGCTGTAGTTACTGGTGTATGGATTTCATCCATACCTGCTAAATTAGAAGTTCCCTGAGGTTTCGGACCATGACTTGTCATCATGTTGTATATTTATGTGTGTGTGTGTGTATTTTGAAGATTAATGTTAATGGATATATTTTTATTTTACTTCAGGGAGTTAATCTAGTGGATGAGGGCAACCTTTAGGCATCTAATCTAATTAGTAGTTTAATTCTTGATCCTTAAAATATCAACTTTTTATACTAGCTGCTAGTTATAAGCAGCAAACATTTCCTGAACATGATTAGAGTTTTTGTTTTTTTAACCAATTCAAACAATAAAAATAATGGTTTACTGCCCTGGCCAGTGTGGCTCAGTTAGTTGGCGCGTAGTTTCATACACCAAAAGGTGGCGGGTTTGATTCCTGGTCAAGCCACATACCCAGGTTGCAGGTTCCATCCCTGGTTGGGATGGGTGAGGGAGGCAACCAATCAATCCATGTTTCTCTCTCACATTGATATTTCTCTCTTCTCTCTAAAAATAAATAAGTAAATAAATAATAATAGTAGTAGTAGTAATGATAATGGTTTACTTGCCTTCAGTAGATACAGTATTTGTTCTGGTCACAAGACTCCCAGTTTGAGAAATTTCAAAAGGGTGAAATTATATACATATCTGATGTCTTTCAGGCCAGATAGTAACAATCAACCTTTTATTTAGAAGAGAGATGGTGTGTGTGTGTGTGTGTGTGTGATTGTGGGAAAACAATATTCCAGAAGTATGTCATTATTCTGAATCAGGTCATGTCAGAAATTGTATACATCTGGTTTTATCTTTTGACTAAAGGGTGATAAAATGCAGAATTTGCTTCAATGGCTAGTTTTATACTGGAAGCACACTTCTGGGGATCCTGTAAAGTGTTCAAGAAAACACACACAGAGGTGAACTCTGGGATGGTTCAAATCAGACTTCATGTAGGAGTCAATCATGAGACTTTCAAATTTCACCCCCAAAAATGCTACATAAAAGTTTGCCTGGTGACTTGGACCATGCAATATTCATCCATCAAGAAAGAATACTGAACATCCCATTGTGTGTTAAGGACAGAGTTTTCTCAGGACATGTATGGATGACTTTAGTGCTTTGTGTTTAGCATCATAAACATCTGTCAATAGACATCGGTCCATGGTATGCTTTTGTTTTTTAACTCACAACTTTTAAACAGAAGTAAAATGTTGTTTTATTAATTAAATGGTGTTACCCTTTCTCCTCCTGATAAATTACATTGAGACAGAACAGTTTTGATCAAAATTAGTTACACTTTCTTGGGATTAGAATTAGTATAGAGTTTAAGAATATGGACTCTGAATACAGCCTGCTTGCATTCAGCAGGGTGGCGATGCTGCTTAATGTGGCCTTGAGCAAGTTACTAAGTGTAATGCTTAGAACAATGCTCAGCATAGTTAGATGAAAAAGTATCCATTGGTGCCAGAAGCAGTGGTACTTGGTAGTACATTAAAGGTGAACCATTAGCTGGCTTGAATGCTTCGTTTCTTTCATTTGGAGGCTTTCTATAAAAGCATTGAAATTCTTTGTGAGCACTGACTGTTCGACTCATCTCTGTCTACTCTTAGGCTTTGGTAGGGGGGGAAGCACTTGTTTTAATTTTTGAATTGTCACACAGGCATCTGGTTATCACTTATGGCAGATGGACTAAGTAAAAAGAGATATCTCTGTTTCTTGGAAAAGGAAGGCCAACAAAGCCTTGTCTGGCACTGTGTGGAAGCTATTGAAATGCTATTTCCCTGTGGACTTGACTGCTTGTTTAGCTGTATGGTACTTCTGAATAAAAGCAATAGACTCCAATGGTTTCATTTAGCAGAATTAGTCTTTCTTTAGAAGACACTATTTTTTACTTGTATAACCTTAAATGATGGTAAACTTGAAACTTGGTATCATTGTCAAGCCATTGAACTTGAGTTTTCTGTGTCACTATAAATGTTCTAGATAGT